ACGGGGCCCCTTGGGCCTTAAATATACAAATTATTATTATTATTATTATTGCATCGGAATTTGGAATTTATATTTGTTAGCGGCAGAAAGGCACTATTGATGCAAAATTAATTTCATAAGAAAACATTCAAAAACGAATTTGACGTAAACGTAAAAATTTGTAATAATGTCAGCAGAAATTGTCCTTCCAGGGCAATATTTGGCGATGTTTTGCAGATAATGGCAAACTTGAAAAATTAAAAATATAGGCAGGTAAAAAACCCCTACAGTGAAAATGGAGGCACAGTTCAGTGGGTCTCCATTTTCAAAAAGAGTGTAAGAGAAAAAACTCCTTAGGAAGTTAAGACAGAGTAGTAGAGTAGAAATAGGTGTAGGACGTCTGATGATGGTTGGTAGCCAACGCAACGGCAGCAGATTAGATTGAGTACGTCCACGTTTTTTCGTTTGATTGGGCGGTGGTTAATGGAGAGATCTGGGTTCCCGAGGGACAGGAGGCACAGAAAGTACAGGTGTCCCTAAAAATGTATACAATTTTTCGATTAGTGTAAACTTGTGTTTACTATAATTCTATTATTTCAAAAGTTAAAAAAATACTTACAAAAGTTATTTTGTTGATTTTTTCACTGCAATTTGACTATTGAAATAGTGGCTGAATTGCGAGAAGCCATCGGAAATTAATGCACCTAAGTGCGAAGGGGATTGTCTCATGGCATATTCTATTCCATTGTTTCGCTTTGTCAGCAGTGTCATGAGCAAAATAGACGTTAGTTTGAGAAAATTAACTGAAAAAACAACAAAATGATCATTGTATGTATCGATACACGTCAATAATTTTACATTTTCTAAGAAAAAATTACGGTAAACACCAATTTTACAATTGTATAAAATGTGTATACATTTTTTTGGGATACATTGTAGCTTCAAGAGGATCTCCTATATTTCCGACGGTCCTTTCTCGGTGTCGTGAAGAAAACTGTTCAGAAGAGATGAGTGTAAAGTATCGGCAACCAAGAAAAATACATTGGACCTATCTCTATAAGAGATAGCCGCATTTTCAGTGAAACGAGCTTTATTTTGCTGAAGTTGTTGAAAGATATCCCTAAAATAAAGCATGTTCCGGCCACCTCTTAATGCAGGTCAAAACGTAGAGAAAATAAAAACGGCTGCAAAAGGTCCTCTTTATAGCACGAAAGAATCATTAGATGAAGGAACACATTAAAATCAACGTTAACTCCTTGAAAGCTTAGGAGAACACATCTACAAGTCCAAAAATTGAGTGGTTTTGAAGGAAGTAGAAGAAAAACACTACCATCCGAAGTAAAGTGCTTACGTAGACGACCACAGAGTTCTGAATGAAATATAATTCAAAAGGAAAGCGTAAGATGCATAAGGTTGACACACAGAATAAGACTTTTGACATGCGATGAGTATACTCTGACATATTTGATCATTTTAAAATATGATATCCATATAAAAAAGACGGTAATCTGGAAACCTTAGGTCTTTACTGCGGTACACAAATTTTGATCTGGCAACAGTTTTGATTTTGGAGTTCTAAGAGGTATCGTGACAGCGTCTTCACTTTTTTCTGGAATTAGTTTCAACTGTTGTTAATATTCGTAGAATTCTCATTTTAATTTGCTGTCACCCTCACTGCTCTGTTCAAATTTGAAGGTCATCCAGTGACCCAATTTGGATAGTATAATTATTAACATAGGCAATGACGACCGATTAACTGATCACTATCGCTGACTCGTAACCAGTTTTATCTATTGCCAACTATCATTTATCACGTGTTTTTTCCTTTTTATTTTATTGAAATCTGTTATCTCCGTGCAGGATCTTCAGCATTATTTACTATTTCAATCGATTGTTTTCGGCAATCAGTTATAAGATCATACGGTATCAGTATATGTGATGTTGTTGTTTCAGACGTATATAGTACGCATAAGAACGACACGCTCATTTGCACGTGTATGTTCTGGTTTATTTTTTTTAAATTGGACATAAAGAAACTTGCATTTCCATTTTCATTGGAAACCATGGAACCCAGGTTAAATGCAGGTGAATGCATTCACCACAACCCCCACCCATTTTCAAGCACAGTTGATTATTCTGCGTTTTTTTGAAAAAGAAAATAGTTTCAACCTGTGCACATTTTGTTGAAAAATATTTTAGACCTCGAGATTTGCTGCTTGGTAAATTCTATAGAATTCTATTTATGGCGCGCCATACAGACTGTTCACAGACTACCATCTAGAAGGCAAATGACAGGCAAAATTTATGAATAAGTCAATTTAATATTACGATTTTATCTGATAAATGGTAGTTAGATATTTTTCTACACATCGGAAAATGAAAATGCATGACGATTGGTTTCGTCACGTAAAGCAGCTCATTAAAATCATGTTTCATGTTTCATCAATCGAGGGTAGAGAACGGATCCTTGGAAATCCCTTCTTTGCAGGCACCAGTCATGGAAGTTTTCAGGTTAGACCTATCCCCCGCCAAAGCAAGGGCACCCTTGTGAACGGTACAGATAACTTTTCAAATTAGGCGTCGTATTTCTTCTGACAACCGGCAATTGTGTCCGCAGCAGCAACATCGGAGGGGGAGGGGTGGGGCGGGAGATTGTTAAATGCACTCACGGCATGCCTTGAGAGTCGATAGATGTGCGGGAGGCCATCTGTCCGTTGTATAACCAGCCTGAAGCAATGTCCGCGCGTAGGCATATCGACGGCCAGTTTGAAGTACTGTACGATCTCCGGGATGTCACTGCGAACCATCACTTTGTTCATCATGATTTGGTCGCCTTTTGTGTGTCGACATTTGAGGGTAAATAGGTTCAGTGGTTGACAGCGCTCCGGATATGTCAGCCTACTCAATTCGGGTCCCATTCTTGACCCCAGCCCTTGCACACATTCGATATCGGTCACCTGGCCCTTCGTACACGTGAACCAAGCTGACATTCCATACTCCATGATCGGGCGGATGAACGTTACCATTAGCTTACAGAATTACTGCTTGGACCAGGAAGTTATTGCTTTTTTGAACATCCGAAGTAATGCCAGACCCTTGCTCTCGCCAAAGTTGATTGTTCTCCAGTTTTGAGGTCGTCTTGAATGATGACGCCCAAGTCACGAGTACTCCTAACAGCGGCCAGTGTCATGTAGCCCATTGTATAGGGTGGGTGGTCCCGGTTTCTTTCAATTATCAGCAAGTCTGATTTGCTCACGTTGACCGGTATCTTGATCTTCAATGACCATTCGTGGATCACATTAAGATCATTTTGAAAAGACATTGTGTCTTCGGGGCTGTGTATGATACGCCATACCTTGAGATCGTCCGCAACCAGAAGGCATGGAGACAAAAGTCTTGATAGGAAATCCGCAACACATATAGAAAATAGTCTGGGACCAAGCACCGACCCTTTAGTATGCCACTACGAGCCTCATACGCGGACGAACACCCTTCACCAACCCTGGCCCGGCATTGTATACCGAGCAGGTACCCTTTGATCCATTTGACTACAGCTCCTGGGATGGGCGTATAAATGAGCTTGGTCAGGAGGAGCACGTGATCAACTTTATTAAATGCCTTGCTTAGGTCGATTAAGGCCTCATGTGCCAACAGTCGTTTTTCTTTGATTTCGCACAATGCCTCACGCGCCACCATGGGGTTAGTGGTGCACGATTTGCTTTTGACAAAGCCGTGTTGTTCTATCGGTAGGATTGTGGCTGGCCCAATGTTGACATAAATTTCGCTACGGATGAAGTTCTCCAGCACCTTCACAAACACCGAAGTCAGGCTGACTGGTCGATAGTTCTGGGGCAGAAAACGGTCGCCACCTCTGTACCTCGGAGTTATCAGACTCTGCTTCCGGTCATCTGGTACCGTTGCAGTTGTTAGCGTACAAAGAACAGGTTCGCTGATGTTCGGTGCAATTATTGAAGCAAGCTCGCGGATAACCCTCAGATTCAGATTATCAAGTCCAGTGGCCTGAGTCGGTATCAATCTACTTAGTGCATTCTCTACATCTTCAATGACAATTATTATGCCCCTTTCAGTTCGATCAGGAGTTTCGAAGTCTTCACTTGCGGGCGTTGTTGACAAGTAGACAGTGGGGTATTGTTCAGCTTAAAGTTCAACCATACGTGACTCATCCGTTAGGAGCACGTTATCTGTACTGTAAAGACCTTGAATGCCCGGGGTTGCAAGACTTTTTCTTTTCGGGAATGAATAAAATTTATTGGGCTGGGTGTCAACGTTTTGCATAAGATCTTCTTCATACGCTACTTTCTTTGGCCTCATTATACGCTTGCATTCGTCTCTGATTGCTTTGTATATCGCCTTTGCTTCGGCTGTTCTCAACATCATGGGGACCTTGTGAGCACGTTTCCTGGCCTTCAAGTTGCGTTTTGTCTCGCCATCGATCCATGGAGGGTGACATGCTGCCCATCCACAGAGCTTCAGGGGGACAAAGTCAGTACAGAGCCGCTCAATATCGCTACGGATCAAGTTTCGTTGTTCTTCTACATTTTCAGAACTGCTCGGTTCCCAGGATAGCTTTATAGCGCTCTGGCTGATGAACTTGACCATGGGGTTACGAAATAACTGCATTGAAGGCCTTTTGAATATGCAGAGTAGTGCTGGACCCTTGCGTCTTGCCAAAGTTAATTCTTATCGTGTTTTGAGGTCGTCTGGTATGATAATGTCCAAGTCACGAGTACTCCTTACAACGACCAAGTTCGTGTTTCCTATTGTAGATGGCGGGTGGTCCCGGTTTCTCCCAATTACCATTAAGTGCAATTTATGCACTTTTATCGGTATTTGATCTCCAAAGAGCATTCTGCAATGGCACCTGAATTAAATGATGTTAAATAAGTATTGGACATACGAGTCATATTCGTAAATTCGTATGTGATAATTCTGAGACAACTTTATATTCTCATGACTTTCGTTTATTTAAGGCTCCCACGTGGTTTATCTATTGATTTTAAAAGCGTTTATATTTTTCCAGTTATGGCAAAACTGATCGCTACCGCCTGCAGTATTTTCTTCCTATTGACACTGGCGCATGGTGAAACGCCGCTAGGAGTTGTCATTTGGCACGGAATGGGTACGCCTTTTTAAATATCAATTACTCAGTTTCGTTGCTTGAGCTAGAGATACCTCAACTGCCATAAGACAGTTAAATCCTTCTCGTAAATTTGCACGGTAATCTATATATTTTTTATTATTAACACACAGGATAAACATTTCATTCGCGCGCACCCATGCATCCAGAAGGTAGCAAAACGAATACACTCTTTCCCACATTTTTTTTCTTACTTTTTAGGTGATACTGGAGCAAGTGGCGCAATCGTCCATTTATCTAATATCATAAGAGAGGAAATACCCGGCATCTTCGTTTTGGATTTACTTATCGGCGGATCGTCATTAATAGTATGTCAGGATTTATTACCAGCGACAATACATATATTCTTTCAGAAATATCGGGTTTTTGGAAGTCACTTTTAAATATCTACAACTGGTTTTCCATTAAAGTAAAAAAATGTTGTAAAACAACTGCAATACTTATTCAATTTTCACGGTCATTAAAACACGGGGACATCTACTATTTAACTTGTTTATTTTTCAGTGCGTGCAAATGTGCCGCTTACTAAACTTAGTTATCATGACACCACAATGTTCGCGTTTGTAAAAGACATGGCGTTCTGTTTTAATTAGCTATGCAATACATTTTCACATATGATTCAAAATAACTATAGATTGGTTGGCTACATTTTTAGTCATCTGAAAAAGTTACTAAACTCGAGTGCATGTTAATGTTCGAAAATTCCACTCTGGGAATTTCGCACTTTGTTCTGAAAGTTCGCATACATCATATGAAATTTGAACTCTAGTGCCGATGGACGATGGACTGTTGCCTAAATATTTGTTGAAATATTCGACTTGAAGTTTTAAAGCTTAATCCCGACTGATTTTTCCCCAGAAGACAATTGATGTATGCTCTATATGAACAACTCAATGACTTTTAGGTGTATAAACGTGATTAAATGTTCCGGCTCTTTCGCTGAAAAGTAAGAGTTTACGGTTTTTCAGCTGTTTACTTTTAGTAAATAAAATAAAGTTCACAGAGTTTGCATTCTTCAGAGGAACAACAGTATTTCCTTAGCGGACCTAAAAAGGAAGGTTGCATTCTACTGGTTGACAAAGAACCGATGATGATACACTCGGCTATTTTCTACGCACCGTCCGTAGTTTTATACACTGCGTTTCTAGGGTTGATTTGTCTCTGAACCATGCAATGCTGTAATAAAGTGCGGTATTTTACCTCTTTTAACTATAACTTTTCGATTTAAGTCCAGTCAAGCGGCACATCGTAGTCACTGACATAAAAGTACTCATTTTAGCATGTGTGAATGGTATTACTACAAGAAATTATTATTTCTGGGTAAACCTTAATTAAGGCATTAAATTCTCATTAAATAACGAAACCCCAGAGGACCCTTATTGGACTGATATATTACCATCGTGTTACTGTATCCTATATTTTGTCTTTGATCATCTTAAAAAATATGATGTGGTTGTAACGGTGCTACCGGAATACTTTTGATGAAGACTATAGGCTGCAGAATGTTCAAGTGGAAGCGTGTAGCATCATTTCTATGTCTGTTACTACCGGTCAATTTTTTTCCGAAATCCATCCTTAAACCTTTGATCTATGAAGTTTTCTTGCTATTACATGATCCATTATCAAAATTGTAATAAACCTCCTGAGTTATCAAAGTTATCTTCCGCTCTTTTGAATCTCCAGTCTACCAGGGCCAAACTGAGTTGCCCTTCACCTTAAAGTTCAGTTCACTGTCTTTTTGTTCACATGGGAAAATTCTGATTTGTGCACTGACGCATAAATCGCCCTTCTTCGTCTACCTCCAAAGGATCGTCTCAACACCTACTTTATGCCCATTAACAAACAACTGGCAAGGGCATGCGAAATTGTGCACTCGAACAAGAACCTGTCACAGGGATTTCACCTTATTGGCTTCTCACAGGGTGGCTTGTTTGTGCGCGCCCTAGTACAGCGCTGCCCACCCGCAAAGGTTGGCTCAGTCATCTCCATTGGCGGACCCCAGGAAGGTGTCTTTGGTCTCCCCTCCTGTCCTGACACATCGGCGCGCATTTTCTGTGACACCATCAGGTCCATCCTAACGCGGGTTGCCTATGTGGACTTCATTCAGTCTCGGTATGTCTTGCACCTACATCTCTAGCTACTTGCATCCAGGTTGCTTTCATTTTTACCTTTCAGCCGAAATTAGCATTACCTGCGCAACATGAAGCGGCGTCTACAAGTTAGAGATTGGAACAGGAATATTCAGCTTAGTAATCAAGCAATTTTACATAAAAAAACCGTACTAGTGGTGTGAGAGTATGTTGATATTATTTTTCATTTGATATTACTTTAAACCATTCTGGCTAAGGTTTTGATGATTTGCAAACATCCTTACCTTAGAAAAACGTAAAATATGTTGGTCATTACGACTAAAAATACTAAGTCTGTTGAGTGGGCAGTTCACCGATCAGCTTACAAAAAATTCTGGTCCCACTATGCATTGTTTAGTTCTCATTGGTAGAGCAAAAATCTCCGTAAACCAAATAATTCGAGTTTGAATCTCAGCTTATCTAAGCCTGGCTACCTAT